CCCCAAAATCCACCCGTTCCCATTTGTAAAACTACCTCTCCTCTCGACAAGTGTAATCAAGTAGGTAAATCCCTAGTCGTCTCCAGACTCCAGAGGAATAGTTGTTGTTGATGATAACGGTAATTTATAATACTCCATAGGAATCAAATGATTTATACACCACACTTTGATAAAAATCGTTAATTTCATTGAGCAATTTACTACGTAATTACAATTAATGTTAGTCGTAACTAATTGCATCCAAGATACCATGATACCATTCATATGTACATACCATTCATACATATCATTCAACTACTATGCGGACATATTATATGATCTGCTTAATAATACAATCATATCATATGTTGTCCGCGGACTGGGTCGAGCTTCTTGGATACTGCCGTACGTTTACATCTTATAAAAGTAGAAAGTTGTTTTTGTCTTCCATATTTGCATATTATTACATATTTTACATATTTTACATATAATTTGCTTGTTCAGAGCTTCAGAAGAACCCTGGAGCTAAAGACGAAGAAGACGCTCAGTCCATGACCTCGTCCCCCACTGGTCTTCTGGACCCAGCACTCGCCCTGGAGAGGATGTCTTGCAACCTCGAAAAACAGGTATAGTACTCTTAACATAATATAACTTAATATTACTTAACTTAATATAATTCACGATTTTATTTTGAACTGTTAATTATTATTTAAAGTCGACTACCTGTAAGACTTTGTGACAATCTAAGAAACACATTACCACCTTGCTTGTAAATTAGCTTTTACACTTAGATACCAGACTTAGCTAATTGCTTGCGGAGATCGAATTATGTCCAAATTACATCTCTGAATTTTCAGGAGCACTCTATATCGGAGTTGAGGCGGGCCAACCAGGAGCTCACCCTCAAGCTAGACATCCTGTTAAAGCGTGTTCGAAGTAACAACCACAGCTCTGAATGTTAAATATAATTTATATATCTTCGCTTTTTTATTTGCTCATTAATAGACTCTAGGCGTATTATGTTGAAATGAGTCATGTTTTGCTGAGTTAATGGGAGTTTGTCACTGGTTGCAAGACTTTTGAAATATGTTGAAACGCTGCTGTTCAGCGATTTGTGCTGTTTATTAAATTATGGTATAAAATGGGAGCTCCACACCAATACAAATACTAAAGAGCTGAATAAGCCTCAATAAAGTCACTAGAAAGGAATTTTTTGCTTAAACACTCTAGAGAAAACATTTTTCGTAAGTTACCCATAAATTGAATTCCACTTAATATGTTGAAGAAAACTTCAGCTGTTTTAAAAATTCAATCCACCGCAACCTGACTTAAGTTTTAACGAATTTAAACATGAAAATTTGGATAGATTCATCTTAGATTTAAATTACTGATTAATAATAGTTTCGATAATAACATCAGACACCACACAAGTTATATAACTAAAATTCAAAGTAGTTCCACCTAAGTCATTAGTGTATATTGTTTTATGGCTATAAACGTCTGGTCCAGTTATATAATATCTATATTATATTTTAAACTTGACGAAATTTCCCCGGCAACGGGGACATAGAAGAAAAAACACCGAAAATCGACCTCAAAATGACCCTCTGGTGATGCCAAACCCAGCTCGCAAATGGAGTTGAAACCTCGCCATTTTTAGCAGGGTTGTAGAAAAAGGATAGGAATAGGCTATAGCATTCTTAGAATTTTGATTTAGGCTTTAGATTTTTTATAATTAACGTCGGAAGTGAGGTTAAATAATCGTTAGAATAATGGCGTTATTTAAGCAAAGGTTTACTGCGCTGTTGCGTAGCAACGATAAAAATGCACGTGCGCGAGCAACCACAGATTAACAACGCGCGTTGTTATGCTGTATGATACGTCATAATTTCAAAACTAGCTCACATTTACGCTCACGCTATGACTTCTTATAACTTTGTTTGTGATTGCAATATTTTGATGCAGTAAAAAGTATCGATACTTTTTTTTCGATACTAAATTCGCTAGAACTACACACAATGCTGACATGACGCCGCGCACACACAATCAACAAAAATATTGTTGTTTTCTAATTACGCAAATAACTTTGCGCAGTTAAACATTTTAATTGCCTGGCAATAATTCAATTGACTGTCATTCTCGATTGAAATATCAGAATTTCACAACTAGCTCACATTTACCCTCATGACGCTATATACCTATATATATTTATAACTTTGGTTGTGATTGAAATTTTTTGATGCGGTAAAAAGTATCGTTTTGGGGCTATATGATGAAGAGAAATTAAAACATAACTGATGCTTAAAATTTCCTCGAACAAAGCTTTCGACTAGCGGTGGGTTTCTAGTATTATATGTTTTTAACTAATTTTAACACTACAAATCTTTACATTTATTGAGGACTTTACAGTAGGATTGAATGTAGTTCGAGGAGTCCTACTCCTTCTCGCCTAAGATAGCGTTTCTCTGTATCATAATATGTGGACAATGTATATACTCCCTCTTCTTCAAGTCCCTAACTCTTTAGCCTTTATTTATAGATGTAATGACATAACTTACATTATATTTTTAAATACACAGCTTTCTCTCGTTCTTTTCTCTTTCTTCTCTCTCCTTTCTCTCCTTGTCTTTGACATGAACTAGCAAACCACTCCTTGTACCAGCTGTTACAGTCCTCATAGCTTCACATTATTTGTGAGATTATAATACACTTAGCATCTCAATTCACTGTACAGTACTAGCTCAATTCATATATAATCTAGGAATTCAAACTTTATTGCGACACCTAGCCTGTCTAAAGTATTATCTATGAAATATGAAATAACAAAACTAACGTAACACGTGGTGCTTCAAACAGCGTTCCGTATTATTGGTGTTTTTGTATGAAGTACATGCAGTAGAAACAGTGCTCAGTTTCTTATCTCCAAATAAGGATCTAGAATACAACTTGGTAGGTTGAAACGTTTTTGTGAGTAGAGTATACACATTACACTTCCGTAAGAATCTGTTGGCAGAAACAGCACATTAACTGATAAGAGAGATAATACCAGAACTCATTTCCTATTAACCATCACCGATTAGCTTTAACAATCTCTACTGCTGTTAACTAATCTGTATTTAAATTTTTGCTACTTTTTCTAACTTGAACCAGAATTTAGTGCGGGAGCTAGATACGGGACTAAACACGCGTTTATTTTTGGTTCAACAATTCGCTGTCTGTAATAATTGTCGAATTGTTATTAATCAGTACTAAATTCGTGAATCTGGATCATTTCATTTACTCGTTAAAAGATAAAGATATAAACACTGCAAGGCCTTGCAATTGACAAAAATCGTTAAATCATTGGGATAAATCTTTTGGAGCTTCCCTCCTGAAATTTTTTGAGCAAGCCCAAATTTCAGGATATTATGTAATATGTGTCATGGTCTCGTGCTATGAAATTCAACATAATTTACTTTTAAATTGCTCAATTAACTTGCGTTTTGTATCGATTATTTTTCTTATTAACATATAATAATTATTATGGCAATTAAACTTTTGGTAGGTGTAACTGATAGGTTTATAATTATAAAACTTCTTTCAAGATAAGAGCAACATCCTTAATCATATATCTACTCTGATCATTTTTGATAGCATTAATATTATTCAACATTTATATCGGTTTATCTGGATATGAAATCATAGCTAGTGTTTAATTGGTTTGATGCAGTTGCTAGTTTGGTTATAAAGTTTAATTTGTTGTGGGTTTATAAAATTTTGTAAATTTTGCTGGTTTAGAAACTCAGTTTGAAAACTCGATAACACCTGGTTAACTCATGATGCATAACGGAATTAACTAAATGCTTTAATACTTTGAAATTGCTGAATTATTTGTTATTAATCTTTTTTTGCATGTCCTGTTTAAATGCAGTTTATGGGCTGTACCCGTTCATGCAGTATTCGTTTTTGAAATTTTTGTGATAATCGAGCCTATGGAATATATCTACTGGGTTTTTAAACAATAGAATCTCTTTTTTTGTATTCTGATGAATAGTTAAGACAACATTTTAAACGAAATAATCTTCTGAATTTATTTTGCAGAATGTCGAATAACCTGTAGGTATGCTTATAATATTATGTTGAACTAAAATTTGAAGGAATAGGGTACCGTAAATCGGTTTGAAGAGTCGAACGATACCTAAAATTATCATCATTAGTTGTTTAATAATCCTTCGAGTCTTTAATTTAAATTTAGATCTTATTCTTGGGTTGAACGCCATTGAACTTATAAACTTATAAAACAACACGTTTTTATAAACTTATAAATTTATAATAACCTTAATAATGCTGGTATAATTTGTATCCTAATTGATGTTTTGTTATCTTACTCGTTAATAATAATATGTTATTGTTATTATATCAACATGTGTTGCTATCTTGATAAAATATTAACCTCATGTTATCTTTAAATGCTGTTTAACAACATTATTGGTTATGTAATAACAATGTTAAGTTGTTGATTTAAATCAATCTCCTCGTTTTATTTCATTCTCCATGCAACTCTAATATAAACCTAAAAAATGTCCATCTATATAACAATAAAGGTTCATTAATTATAATAAGCGATTGTATAAGACATCTGCCAGATTTAAAATGATGCCTCAACTTTACCATATTACTCTAGCATAACAGTCCGTGTGTTATGTTCACAATAAGTCCAAGCGACTGTGATTATTATCTACATTCGTTATCTACAGAATAAGCAGTAAAGTCGAAGTGACTGTGATTATCATTTACAATTTACATCCGTCCTATTAATTATAATCATCAGTCCATTACACCTCATTTCTCTATAGTCCGCATTTGCAGCAGCGCCATAATGCACAATCTCACCTCTGAGTTCATATTGTTGGTGTCTTGTTACAGCTGCACTGTTTAACAGCTTGTAAGAGGCGTGACGTCATTATTTACCCTGATGCACGTGCAAACTGACCAATAGAATGGCCAGCTCTACTATAGTCTGCTCTTATATCATACTTTCCTATATTTCACGTATCTTGCATTGCCGCTTCAGCCATCACACTCACAGACCATGTTATTTATCTGTTATCAGTATCACATGAGCACTCACCCCATCCTTGAATTCTGTACGATTTATTATACTTGAGTTCGTCTTTTAAATTTGTGTACTTCGCAGCAACTCTAATTGTAACCTAGCAACTCTAATTGTAACCTAGCAACTCTAATTGTAACGTAGCAACTCTAATTGTAACCTAGCAACTCTAATTGTAACTTAGCAACTCTAATTGTAACCTAGCAACTCTAATTGTAACCTAGCAACTCTAATTGTAACCTAGCAACTCTAATTGTAACCTAGCAACTCTAATTGTAACGTAGCAACTCTAATTGTAACGTAGCAACTCTAATTGTAACGTAGCAACTCTAATTGTAACTTAGCAACTCTAATTGTAACCTTGCAACTCTAATTGTAACGTAGCAACTCTAATTGTAACGTAGCAACTCTAATTGTAACGTAGCAACTCTAATTGTAACGTAGCAACTCTAATTGTAACTTAGCAACTCTAATTGTAACCTTGCAACTCTAATTGTAACGTAGCAACTCTAATTGTAACGTAGCAACTCTAATTGTAACCTAGCAACTCTAATTGTAACCTAGCAACTCTAATTGTAACCTAGCAACTCTAATTGTAACGTAGCAACTCTAATTGTAACGTAGCAACTCTAATTGTAACGTAGCAACTCTAATTGTAACTTAGCAACTCTAATTGTAACCTTGCAACTCTAATTGTAACGTAGCAACTCTAATTGTAACGTAGCAACTCTAATTGTAACTTAGCAACTCTAATTGTAACCTAGCAACTCTAATTGTATAAACCGAGCAACTCTAATAATTGTAACCTAGAGTTCTTACCATTGCTATCTTGTATGTTGTTTCAACCCAAAATGTAGTTATATTTTGTTAAGTTATGAATCACTATGAATAATTAACTCAAATTAATATAATATAATGGCATCCAGTTGCAGTTTATACTAGTATAAAACCCTGATCCTGTAATTAAATAATCAATTTCCACGTGTCGTGAAGCCTAGTTGAATTATTTAACCATGCCATGCCTGGGTCTTAAGCATTGGAGTAACTACTAACAATACTTAAATATACTAAAAATTAAAATGTAGCTAATTATTTTTTTAGTAGTATTAATGTAGCCTTGTCATAATTAGAAAACAAGACATTTCATTTGGTTGCGATGAGATGATAGTGCTAACGTAACGTTACACTTATTTTGTGACTCGTTTATCGGTTATTAATTTAGTCTATTCTCGTTGAATTATCTACTTTCTCCTCTTAATTCTCCTCTTAATCATTAACTAATTGACGCAATTCTCAGAATATCATAATTTGTATAACTAATTTTAACTTTCCGTAGAAAAGAAATTCACAAAGATGCCGTAAGTATTTCAATTTAATGTATCCGTTGAAAAGCTTGCGAAATAATGATTCCATAATTTAATGTTCAGAATAACACTTTTTCCATCATGAAACTATTATCTCCTATTATTATTATATAATATATATATTTCCTAATATTGCAGGGGTATTTGTGCACTTGTTGGAGGACTAGGCTCCATTGGGGCAGGTATCGCTACTAGCGTACCGTTCTTGGCGGGCTTTACATCTTCTGGTATAGCAGCAGGGTCAGCAGCGGCAGCCGCACAGGCTGCAGTTGGAAACGTGGCTGCAGGGGGTGTTTTCGCTTTCATGCAGAGTGTTGCTGCCACAACAGTAATTGGAACTGCTGCAGTTGTAGGCGGTGTCGCTCTCTTTATCATCTGTTAAAAAGTACCTGTTGGGAGGAGTGATTTTGAGAGGACTTTTTATGCAAAACATTAATTTATTGCGAACAAAACTCTTATCTGGACGTGTTAGATTTAGTAAGATAATTTTACTCCACGTTGTTAAATTCATGATCAATAAATAAGAATCATGTTTTTATGTTATTGTTTTTTTTTTCTAAATTAGAAGAATACTTTTTTGCGCAAATTTTCTTGCGACAACTTGCTCGTTTTTATAAATTTCATTACACATAATTATCATCTTGAGTATCTTTTATTGATGTTTTTGTATCACTATCTTGTTATTAAAAATTTAGAATAAGAGATTGTTTCACTTATGACTATGGTAACTATCCGAACTAAATCAAATGTTGAACTAGAAATATGACACACTTTCTGTGTGACTCGTTCATCAGCTGTTATAATTATACGCTCTTCCACATGAGACATTATTTTCTTCCTCATTAAATCATTTAAGTAAATCGATGCATTAGTCAAACATACATATTATTATATGACAACAAGTGGGCGACAGGGGTCACGGCGAGCGCTACTTATTTTGCGGGCTTTACTTGGAGTGGAGTCGCAACAGGATCTGGAGCTACATATTTTGTACAGCAGTTAATTGGTGACGGATCATTCAATTCCGCTTTGTTATTTATTCGTTATTGAGTAAAACTTTATTTTCTGATCAAAATGTTAAAGGAAATAATTAGTATAGTTCAACGATGTATTACACGATGGGGATGATAAATAAAAGCAATGTTTGTTAAGTTTATTTTGATAATATAGCGTTACTATAGCGAGATTGTGTATCTAAATTACCGTAGCTATTTAAATAAATTCGAGTGAATTTTAAACAAACTTGATGATATGATAGGAGTCAATTATGGAATATATACTTGAAGGAGAATCTGCAAAAGACCTGCCGTGAGTAATTATTAAAATATCTTTCTTTTTCCGTGCCTACTGCCTATTGATTCGATATAGAATATGGTTAATTATAATATGTTGATAAAAGGCTCTTTTCCTTTATATTTTGTTCAGCAAGTTGACAAGGGGAAATACTTTAATTTGAATAAACCGTTAAGAATTGTAATTACAATATCTCAGTGTTCCTCAAATACTATGTTAATAATTCGAATATACTAGTTATTTAACTGTCAACTTTAACTGCAAATTCCGTGGCACTCAACCAAAAAGGGTGTGTCCTGCCATCCAACAGGCCCACTCTTAAATACCCCCTGATAGTATAAACAATCTCCCACTCGTTTTAGCAATCCCTAAACAAATCCCAAACTATCCTCCTTGTAACCAAAACAGAGGTGTTAAAATGCACCCTCTGATAATCAAAACAGAGATGTTAAAATGAACTCTCTGCTCCCCAAATCTCTCTGCTCTAAACAATTCCTAAACTATCCTCTTTGTAACCAGAACAGAGGTGCTACAATGCACCCTCTGATAATCAAAACAGAGATGTTAAAATGAACTCTCCGCTCCCCAAAACAGAGGTGTTAAGGCCACAGGGGGGGGGGGTCCGAGGTCGATTTTGAGATTTTGAGATATGTTGTAGAGTTCGATCTAAATTTTCAAATGCTTTTGTCCTTACCGAAAACAAAGTTTCCTATTTGAAGATATCGCGCGTTGAATTTTGAGGTTTACCTGTAATTCTATTGTAAATGAAAACTTTAAATGAAATCGTGTTCAAAATCTATCTTCTTTTTCAGTTTATGACTTAGAACCTTGTAACTTGGCAACAATGTTCTTCAAGGTATTTTGAGTTTTTGTTATGTAACGATTTATGATATCTTGCTCCAAAGCTGAGATATGAGGTTAACCATGAGTGCGGGTTACAAAATTTAAAATGGTTAACCTCATAAAAAGAGTTAGGAGCAAAATTACAACAATCGTTACATAACAAACTTTTAAATTTATGTCAGGAACATAAGTTCCAAATTTGAGGTGAAATGGATAAAAACTCTAGGAGAAGATAGATTTTGAAGTCAAAAATTCGAGGTTTTCAGGAGAGGCAAAAAACTGTTTTTTATGTTATGTGATTTTTGAGAATTTTGCCTTTATTTGTATATTTTTCAAAGTTTAACTGCTGAAATAACACAAAAACAATAAAAACAAAGCTTATCGTAGTTTTCAGTTGTAATGGCATCAATATTTCTGCCCTCCATTATCGATTTATCAAAAAAATGAGGTTAAATGAGAATTGGTTAACCTCATTTATAAAAAAAAGTAAAATAGCTACAGACAAATGAGTGGTGGCAAAGTATCCACCACAAAAATATATATTGATTCAAAGCATAATGTTTTTTTGCATTTTTTGAGGCCTCGACCCCCCCCCTGTGGCCTTAAACTGAACTCTCTGCACTACCCTGCTGTACTAAATTTCGTACACTTATAAATGCCCTAAAATACTACGCTAAAATACTGAACTAATACTGACATGCATATAAACTTATGATATAAAACCAACTTTAATCAAGTTTAGAATCTAAACAGTTTCAAGTCCATTTGCCATTAGGGCTCCACTTCTCGCGATCTCCTCTGCGCATCCATTAGGCTTCCCTTCGTATTCTTCTCTCTCCACGTCCTTCTTCACGGTCCTTTCTTATCAGTCGTCTATCTTTATTATGTCCACCGATACATTGTAGTTATAAATTGATAGACTATGACAATAAAATTATTATTTTGGCAAATGCCAAAATGACCCTACAATAATGTTATATCCTGTAACTTTTTCATTTATCTTCAGTTTCAATCTATGTGAAATAGGGGCGGAAGGAGTCGGTATTCTTTCCGGCTTTTTATCTAGCCTAGGTCTACCATGGTTAACAGGTTTCACCGCAAATGGAATTGCTGGTGGTTCAATCGCTGCTGCAATACAAGGTTACTTCGGGAATGTCGCCGCCGGTTCTGCTTTCGCATGGTTACAAAGTCTGGGAGCCACCTCAATTCTTGGTACTGCTGCAGCTCCGGTTTTTGCAGTTGTTGGCGCTGGAGGAGCTGTGTCGTACTATGTATTTTGTTAGAATGTGTGAGGAACTAGACTGTGAGGGGATGAATAGTAAATGAATAATATGCCAATTATGGGTAAACTATGCATCAAACAAAATTATTCTTCTGGGTTTTTAAATCACGTATCTGCTATCTATGTTTTTGGTTGCATTTTTCAAGTTGGTAATTTTATATTGTATAGAATTCGACGATGATTAAATTCATATTGATTGTAAGTTTTTATTGTTAGTTTTGTTGCAAGTTTTGATTGTGCGAGTTTATTTATTTTTTCATTTTATGAAAGTTACTCGAAAAAATCCGTCAATTCCAATTTTTGTTAAATATCATAAAAACAATCAGCTGACTAACAAAAGCACAGCTTTAGATGTAAGACAAGAAAAAAGCAAGTTTGTAACTGAAAAAAAAGCCTGTGAAGTCGGTTTGTAAAATGGCTGCGAAACAAGAGGTTGATGTTCTCTTGTACAAGCTGTCTAAAGCGGGAGATAGCAACATACCAACACTTCTTTTACAGGTTTGTTTAACTTATTGCTTGCTTTAACATAATTTTCAATTAGCTTAAAATCTACAAGTTTGTTATAAATTATTATTTGTTAGGGAATATTGTTAAAATCCAATGATATCCGCGATGAATCCTACATTACTAACAAGTAAAGTGAATAAATCCCCTAAAATAATGATCGATTTAATGAACTAATGAAGTTGTTACTGTTCCAATCTACCAGATAGAACAGCTGCTGGAACAGCATGATAACAGGGAGATCAGATCACTGCTCTGGGAGAACGAGATCATGAGGTAGGTTTGAAACATGATACCTTCAGGGTTATTAAGTAACTGATGATTGTGGTTTTTGTCAGACTATAATCTGACAAGAAGTTTTATAACCGTAATTAAATAGTGATCAGTGTTTTAACAATATTACCAATACCATGAAAAGCAGGATATTGCCACATAAGTCTTACATCTCTCTCCATGATCCCAGCACCATGACGGATGTGATAAAACAAGATTTTGAGGGGTTGAGGGTGCCCTGGAGCACGGCTACTAAACTCTGCACTCTCCTAGCTAAGTGCTGCATGGGCTTCACTCAGTCACAGGAGTTTTCTGGTGTTTTCCTCCCTTTGGTGGTCGATAGTTTCATGGAACTAGCCAATAACATTCAAGGTTCAACATTAAGTACACTCGCTCGATATTATGCACCAACTGTGCACTGACCATATTATATTAGTTTTGGTTGATCAATATTTTATATCAAATTCCCGACTTCCTGACCAACCTCCTAGTTGAGAGCCTGCATGGTTTACATTTAATCAATTAAATAAATCTGTAGTAGTTGTATAGCAATACTAAAGTAATGGGATGTCAACATTTTACCTTCACACAGACATCAAACGCTCTAAGAAGATGACGATCATACCTCGTTAAATTTGATAAATCATTGGATAACAGTATAACCATTAACCTTGGTCTGAATGGTCTCATACTGTAGCTCTGGTAGATTACGTAATGCGTTAATAAAGTACATAGTTCTAGCCTCTAGGGAAAGATATTTCTATTAGCTTCCATCACCACTGTTACCCTGTTAATTCCCCTTGCTACCCTGTGAATCACCTCGTTACCATAGTTATCACATTTAAAGCCGTTTTTATCAGATCCAAATACTGACTATCACCCCCAGGACTTGTATCTCCAGACGAGGAAGACTTCAGACAATGTCTGGAATGTGTGTTCTGGTTGGTGGACTACTCCCCCTCCCTCGGACAGACCATCATTGAGTCCCCGAGACTCCTTACCATGCTCATGACTGAGAGTAAGTTACCATGTTAATAGTAACCATGTTAATAGTAACCATGTTAATAGTAACCATGTTAATGGTAACCATGTTAACAGTAACCATGTTAACAGTAACCATGTTAACAGTAACCATGTTAACAGTAACCATGTTAACAGTAACCATGTTAACAGTAACCATGTTAACAGTAACCATGTTAACAGTAACCATTTTTTTTTTTTTTTTTTTTTTTTTTTAAGAGAGGCTGGGCATAGAAAGCCCACTAGAGGATAGCATTAAGATGCTTTGCCTACCTCTGGGATGAGGAGGGGTTTATTGGAGACAACAGTGTGAATTGTGGAGGACGGTGGTGGTAATGATCTGAATGGGAATACCGCGCTTTGGTACCAGATGAGTTTATAGATCAGTTAGGCAAGGCTGCAAATGTGATGTGTTAATGCGCTAAGTTACACCAGTCTGATCCAGTTCTTCTGGTACTATTAAGCGTTTGGTGCGGTTTGTGAAGTTGACGATTGTGGTAATGTGGTGGTTGTCGAATATGTCGTTGACCGAGAGGTAGTAGTCCCGAAAGTATTGACCTCTTAGTTGGGCAATAGCTGGGCACTGTCCAAGAAAGTGTGAGACAGTTTCCTCTCCGTCACCGCACATAGGACAAGCACTGGTGCTAGATTTGCGGATGGTGTGAAGGTGTTTGTTTAAGCCACAGTGGCCCGTGATTAGGTGGACTGCGGTTCTATAGTCTTGTCTATTGTTGATGAGTGACGTGTTTATATTATTGATTATTTTGGTGTGCTTTTGGCCAAGTGTTAGTTTGGTGTGTCTAGGACCATCCGTTAACCAGATATCCTGATTCAGTCTGTGGACTTTGTTGTTGATTTGTCGTTTGATGTAAGATTGAGGGATTGGGCATTTCAAAACGTGTTCGCTGGTCGTGCCAAGCTTGGCCAGCTCATCCGCTTTTTCATTTCCCCACAACCCAATATGGGCTGCGATCCATCGGATTAACAGTAACCATGTTAACAGTAACCATGTTAACAGTAACCATGTTAACAGTAACCATGTTAACAGTAACCATGTTAACAGTAACCATGTTAACAGTAACCATGTTAACAGTAACCATGTTAACAGTAACCATGTTAACGGTAACCATGTTAACAGTAACCGTGTTAACAGTAACCATGTTAACGGTAACCATGTTAACGGTACCCATGTTAACAGTGACCATGTTAACAGTAACCATGTTAACAGTAACCATGTTAACAGTAACCATGTTAACAGTAACCATGTTAACAGTAACCATGTTAACAGTAACCATGTTAATGGTAACCATGTTAACAGTAACCATGTTAACAGTAACCATGTTAACAGTAACCATGTTAACAGTAACCATGTTAACAGTAACCATGTTAATGGTAACCATGTTAACGGTAACCATGTTAACAGTAACCATGTTAACAGTAACCATGTTAACAGTAACCATGTTAACAGTAACCATGTTAACAGTAACCATGTTAACAGTAACCATGTTAACAGTAACCATGTTAACAGTAACCATGTTAACAGTAACCATGTTAACAGTAACCATGTTAACAGTAACCATGTTAACAGTAACCATGTTAACAGTAACCATGTTAACAGTAACCATGTTAACAGTAACCATGTTAACAGTAACCATGTTAACAGTAACCATGTTAACAGTAACCATGTTAACAGTAACCATGTTAACAGTAACCATGTTAACAGTAACCATGTTAACAGTAACCATGTTAACAGTAACCATGTTAACAGTAACCATGTTAACAGTAACCATGTTAACAGTAACCATGTTAACAGTAACCATGTTAACAGTAACCATGTTAACAGTAACCATGTTAACAGTAACCATGTTAACAGTAACCATGTTAACAGTAACCATGTTAACAGTAACCATGTTAACAGTAACCATGTTAACAGTAACCATGTTAACAGTAACCATGTTAACAGTAACCATGTTAACAGTAACCATGTTAACAGTAACCATGTTAACAGTAACCATGTTAACAGTAACCATGTTAACAGTAACCATGTTAACAGTAACCATGTTAACAGTAACCATGTTAACAGGCAGTGTGGGTATAGACATGTGTTTATTGAAGTTACTGAGAGTAGTGCTGACCCAATCTACTGCTGCACGGTACTACATTGAACGTGATAAACTTCTGGTAAGTTACTATTACATCTCATATTATCTTATTATATAATATTATACATTTATCACATGCCTTCTCATGCGATATCAAAACTTTCGCCCACGAGGCTTGCCGAGTTAGCGAAAGTTTCGATATTTCCCGAGGCTTGCCGAGGGTTATATCGACATTTTCAATAACGAGGCTTGCCGAGTTTTGAAAATGTTGATATCGCATGAGAAGGCATGTGATTAATGTTTTATCACACTTTCTTTAGAGCCAAATTTGGCCGGGAAAGCAGAATTTGATCAAACGTTAGTTATAAATCTCACCAAAGCAAAACTAGACATGTCGAACTTATTTATGTTTATAATGTCCAAGCTATATATTATATATAGCTCTCGATAAGTTAGTATTTCAGATATTAAAGTTACAATACGTGAAATTAGAATCTCGCGTTTCACATTTATGACACAGTGAATGCTGTGTGCCGCGCTGAATTTGCTTTGTACTGCTACCTAGTGCATGCAATATTAATGTGTTTTCCGCCTATGGGTCTTGTACTTATGAGTCTAGAATATTCCGCCGCGAGCGCGTTTGATACGTAATTACATCCTGCAAATCAATTGATGTGAGGTGATTCTAATACTTTATTTCTATTAGATATTTTTAGAGTCAATAAAAGTGTAGATGCAGTATAATGTATAGAACATCCGTTTAAGTGTTGATAATACATCACAGTCCTTATCGTATAATCTGTATCTGCGATAAGGTGAAAGAATTTCCTGGTTGTTAAATTTACATAGAGCTGTGGCGCCATGATTGTCTATTTATCAGTCCACATTATACACTGCACACCCTAATTTACACCAACAATATTATCGTCCGTCTTGATTCTTGATTGTCTGTTATTTCAGAATGATTTAATCAATGCAACTTGTAATCGTTGACTTAGAATTTTATCAAGTATTCTGCTTAGTTCTTAGTCAGTATACATCTTTACTTGCCATTATTTGCCATTATTTGGAGCCAAATTTGGCCTGGAAATCAGAATTTGATCAAACGTTAGTTATGAATCTCACCAAAGCAATACTAGACATGTCGAACTTATTTATGTTTATAATGTCCAAGCTATATATAGCTCTCGATAAGTTAGTATTTCATATATTAAAGATACAATACGTGAAATTAGAATCTCGCGTTTCACATTTATGACACAGTGAATGCTGTGTGCCGCGCTGAATTTGCTTTGTACTGCTACCTAGTGCATGCAATATTAATGTGTTTTCCGCCTATTGGTCTTGTACTTATGAGCCTAGAATATTCCGCCGCGAGCGCGTTTGATACGTAATTACATCCTGCAAATCAATTGATGTGAGGTGATTCTAATACTTTATTTCTATTAGATATTTTTAGAGTCATTAAAACTGTAGATGCAGTATAATGTATAGAACATCCGTTTAAGTGTTGATTATACATCACAGTTCTTATCGTATAATCTGTATCTACGATAAGGTGAAAGAATTTCCTAGTTCTTGTATTTGAATAGAGCTGTGGGGTCATAATTAGTGTCTATTTATCAGTCCACATTATACACTACACTCTCTAATTTACATCAACAATATTATCGTCCGTCTTGATTCTTGATTGTCTGTTATTTCAGAATGATTTAATCAATGCAACTTGTAATCGTTGACTTAGAATTTTATCAAGTATTCTGCTTAGTTCTTAGTCAGTATTCATCTTTACTTGCCATTATAAATTATTTGCCATTATCTGCTTCGAGCTAGAAATTATCTGAACTGGAAATTATCAGAACATTTGTAATATTCAAATGTATCTCTTCAACATTTTAGAACGCAGTACTCCACCAGCCTATAACCACCCTGGTCATGGCCAGGTAGTTCACCCGTACTGTTACCAATATTGAATTGGTCTAATGAATGGCAGCACATTAATCATCGGACCTGTTTGCCCCAGTGCCCAGACTAATTTATAACCAGATTAGCTGATTAAGTTACGTCATTCGTCCCTTGATATATTTATATAAATAATATATTTTATAGGATGTTTTTATTGCACTTATTTGCACTAACTAAAATTCAGTTAAAACTAGTCCTGGGATAGAATTTCCGCTCTTTATTGTACAGAATCTACATATAAGTCTCTTTATCAGTCTGTTTATAGATCAGCCACGAATTTCGCAAGCTAATCTAGGCGAAACCGGTTTGGAAAAGCCAAGTATAATTTCTGCACAATTTCTATATGGAATATGGCTCAAAGAAGGGATCAGAGGGGGTTAAAATTCAGGTCTGAAATGGCTGAAATCTGGCTTTGTTTTGTGTGTTTTCTTCCTTCGAATAGATCAAACATCGTTTCTGTGTTTACTACTTTTTGTGAGGGTGACTGTAGTTTGTTCTGACACTTCCTTTTTAATTTCAAGTAAGCGATTAAGGAAATTAATGAGTCTGATTGATTGTATCGCTGACAAGTACCAAAACTTTGTGCAACTTTCAAGTCTGCTTGTAAACTTTGATCTCGTTTTCAGTAACCTTAAGTCGCTTGAAACTCGTACAAACCAGGGAGTTTTTACTTTGTTTCATCATTCGAAGCCTAATTAGGTTTTGAACTATGAAGTGCAGTAAAAAAGCAACAGCTTGAAAAAGTTTTAGAACAAAAAATTGTATTTTGCTTAACATACTCAAACGCAAGGAAATGTTTTTAAAACAAGGTATAAATATATATTTTTCCTAAATCTGGAAAGTTTATCTGATCATTGCATTTACGGTCATAGACTACTTCAGGTTGTTGATTTAAATCTTTATTTAAATCAGTACCTCACAGTAGTAGAACAGTTGTTGATAGTGGGCTCCTTGTTCCTATGGGAATATCTGACTCTCTCTGAGCAACGAATTGATATTTCATGCCCCCGGGTGAGAGCCAGTGCTTCCCATCGGGGCATGTAATATCAATTCTGCTTTCCTGCCTTATTAGGCTAAGAAGTACAATAGAAAGTCAACATTGGGAGGAAGTTTTACAAGGAAAGTTTTTATTTCGCTTGACGCATCTGAAACGCAAGGAAATGTTTTAAGTTTTCGTTTAAGTATACATTTTGCATCAAATTGTAAATTCTCTCTGACCATTGCATTTAAGGTCGTAGACTACTCAGGTTATTGATTTAAATCATTATTTAAATCAGTACCTTACAGTAGTAGATCAGTTGCTGAGAGCGGGCTCCTCGTTTCTATGGAGCACTCTCTGAGCAACTAATTGATATTTCATGCCCCCGGGTGAGAGCCAGTGCTCCCCATCGGGGCATGGAATATCAATTCTGCTTTCCTGCCAAATTTGGCTCGAAAGTGTGATAATATTATATATTATTATACTATACTCAGTTCAAGGTATTTTGAGAAACAGCGTTTTGAATTTTCATATTATTGCTAGGACTATAATTCGACTAATATAACGAAGTCTGTTGAAATTATTGCACATTATTGATCGTGTCTGCAAGAATTTGCTGCAGATAATCGAATCATACTGGCCATGAAGTCATCATGAGCTGTAACTCTCAAGTGTATAATAACCTTGATTAAAATCATAATTACCTTCATTAAAAGTTTCCAATTACTACAGGTGATATTTGACGAAGTAATGCTGAAGATGACAGAACAAGATATTCCGGCTCTACAACAGATTGGAGCTGATGTCATCTACCAGGCTGCCAAACGACATCAACCTTTCAGAGTTAGTTCTTATTTTATACCAGGCTGCCAAACGGCACCAACCTTTTAGAGATAGTTCTTATTTTCTACCAGGCTGCTAAACGGCACCAACCTTTCAGAGTTAGTTGAAGACGATATTTCCAAATTTGTTTTTCGAAAGCTCCTGCTACCATGCTATCATTTATCTGTTTCAAGAATCCCCTCTCAAGTTGTTTGTATTTTCTCAGTCTTAAGACACGTGTTAAGATACGCATGGTTATTTCTCACACTCAATAATACATTTGCATTGCTAACTATTATCATAATTCATCGATTATCATAATATGATCTCAATTATCATTATTATCTAATTAGATATAATTATGAGTCTAATTCCCAAATGTTCAGAGTATACTGCTGGAGAACGGAGAAGAGGTGGTGGATTTGTTGGAGGTTATCAACACAGCTCCCGGTGCCCACGATAACATTAACATGCTACTCAAGTGAGTTACTAAAGTTACTAAAGTTATTTAATGAGCCGATCATATCACTGTGATAGTACTACTACTACTATGTCGGAACTAAGTCCGATCTACTCCAGATAATTCCCTCCATATATCCCTGTCCCGCATCAGGGTTTGCTGTTCCTCTTTAGAGTTTGTCCCAACTTCCTTCAGTATTATAGACAAGTAGCTTTGTTTTGGTTGGCCTTGCTGTGCTGTACCATGCATAGGTTCCCATAAGACTAAATCACTGGCAAGTAGCTTAGGATGTCTGATAAGCTGATACAGTGTCCTGCACCGTGATAGTAATAGGTGTAAAACGTTGATTGTCCTCCATTTTCTCGGGTAACCATACTGTTAAGGATAATGGGGTAATATAATGGCGGATAAAGTTTAACCCTATATTCCACCACGTGTAAAACTAGTGGTTGGTGTGGTATTGTCCCAGTTTAGGAGGTACACAGTACTTTAACTAGTGGTTGGTGTGGTATTATCCCAGTTTAGGAGGTACACAGTACTTTAACTAGTGGTTGGTGTGGTATTGTCCCAGTTTAGGAGGTACACAGTACTTTAACTAGTGGTTGGTGTGGTATTATCCCAGTTTAGGAGGTACACAGTACTTTAACTAGTGGTTGGTGTGGTATTGTCCCAGTTTAGGAGGTACACACTACACAGTACTTTAACTAGTGGTTGGTGTGGTATTGTCCCAGTTTAGGAGGTACACAGTACTTTAACTAGTGGTTGGTGTGGTATTATCCCAGTTTAGGAGGTATTTCCCCCAAAATTTAAAAAACCCCCAAAACTTAAAATTTTTTTTATTTAAAACAAAATTTTTGTTTGGTTTTTTCCCGAGAGGTTTAAGATTTAAAAAGTGGGGGGGGAAAATTCCCAAAATTTAGGAGGTTAAAAATCCCAAATTTTTTAAAAATTTTTTTTTTTTTTGGGTTATTAACCCCTTTTTGGGGGTTTTCCCCAAAAAAAACTATGGGTTTTTTTTTTCCCCCCCTTTTGGGGAAAACGTTTTTTTAGTTTGGGTTTTGGTTTTTCCCCTTTTGGGGTAAAAATCCCTTTTTTTGTTGGGTTTGGAACCCGTTTTGGGGTAACCCATTTTTAAAAAAATTGGGGGGGAAAAACCCTTTTTGGGGGCCCCCCATATTTTAAAAAATTGTGGGGGTGGGTATTTTATTTAGGGGGTAAAACTTTAAAAACCCTTTTTTGGTTTTTCCCCCATTTTGGGGGGAAACCCAATTTTAATTAGGGGGGTTTAAAAAAACCCCTTTTTGGGGTCCCAAGTATTTTTTTAATAGGGGGGGTTTTTTTCCCGGGGGTTTTTTGGGGGTAAAACCCTTTAAAAGTTTTTTTTTGGGGGGGAAATTTATTTGGGGTTTAAAGTTTTTAAAAAAAAACAAGTTTTTGGGTTTTATTTTTTAAGGGGTTTTTTTTAAAAAACTATTGGGGGGGTTTTCCCCCTTTTAAGGGGTTTTAAACCCCCAAACAAGTACTTTAAAAAGGGGTTGGGTTGTGGTTTTTTCCCCCCTTTAGGGGGGTACCCACAAGTTTTTTTATTTTTTTTTTTTAAAATTTTTTTTTTGGGGGGTATTTCCCATTTTTTGGGGGTAAAATTTTTAACTTTTTTTTTGGGTTTTATTTCCCCTGTTTGGGGTTTAAAAATTGCCCCCAAACAGTTTTGGGGGGTTTTTAAAAAAAAATTTTTTTTGGGTTTTTTTAAAAACACAAAACAAACTTTTTGGGGGGGTTGGGGGTACCCAGTTTAGGGGTAACAAAATTTTTTTGTTTTTTTGGGGGTTTTATTTTTTGGGGTTTTTGGGGGTTTAGGGTTTTTTAAAATTTAAATTTTTGGGGGGGGGTTTTTAAATTTTTTAAAAAAGGGGTTTTTTTTTTAAAATTACAAGAAACTTTAACTGGGGGTTTTTGGGGGTTTTTTCCCCCCGTTTAGGGGAACATAAACAAAACATTTTTGGGGGTTTGGGGGGGGGGTTTTTTCCCCCCTTTTTTGGAGGAAAAATTTTTTGGGGGGGGGGGTTTTTTGGGGGGGGGAAAAAAGTTTTTTTTGGGTTTTTTGGTTTTTCCCCCCGGGGTTTGGAAGGAACAAATTTAAAAATTTTGGTTTAAATTTTTTTTTGGGGCCCCTTTTGGGGTTTTTTTTCCCCCAAGTTTTGGGGGGTAAAGCCTTTTGGGGTGGTATACCTTAAAAGGGGGGGTTTTTTTTCCAGTTTTTTAAAATATTTTTGGGGTGGTAGGGTTTTTTTTTTTTAGGGGGTTGTTTTAAAAAAAATTTTTTTGGGGGTTTACCCATTTGGGGGTAAAAAAAAAAGTTTGGGGGTGGTTTTTTGTTTTAAAAAACCAGTATTTAAAAGGGTTTTTTTTTTTAAACCCCCAAATTTACTTTAAACTGTGGTTTGGTGTGGTTTTTTCCCTTTTTTGGGGGAGGTACAAAAACACAGTATTTAAATTGGTTTGGGTGGGGGGTTTTTATTTTCCCTTTAGGAGGTACACAGAAAATTTAACTTTTTGGGGGGGGGTTTGGTTTTTAAAATTTCAGTTTGGGGGGTTTTTTTTTAAAAAAATTTTTATTTTTATTTAAGGGGTTTTTTAAATTTTTTAAGGCCCTTTTTAAAGGGGGTTTTGTTTTAACAGTTTTTGGGGTTAAAACCCCCAGTTTAAGGAAAAGTTTTAAATTTTGGGGTTTTTGGGAAAAAAAAAAAATTTTTAAATTTTGGGGGGTTTTTCCCCATTTTAAATAAAACTTTTGGGTTGGGTGGTTTTTTTTATTGGGGGTCCCCTTTTGGGGGGGCCCTTTTAATTGTTTTTGGGTTTTTTTTTTTGGGGTTTTATTTTAAAGTTTAAAGGGGGTTTTTTGATTTAAAAAAATTTTTTGGGTTTATTTTTTTTTTAAAAGGGGGGTACACAGTCTTTTTTTTTTTTGGGGGTTGGGGGTTTTTTAAAAGGGGTTTTTGGGGGGAAAAAAAAAAAATTTTAAAAAATTTTTTTGGGGTTTTGGGTGGGGTTTTTTAAAGGGGGTTTTTAGGGGACACAGTATTTAAAAATTTGGTGGTTTGGGTTTTGGGGGCCCCCCCATTTTTTTAAAAAGTTTAACTTTTTTTTTTTAAAAAAAAAATTTTAAAAGGGGTTTTTTTTCCCTTTTAGGGGGGGTTTTATTTAATATTTTTTGGGGGTTTAAATTACCAGTTTTTAGGGGTTTTTAAAGTATTTACGGGGGTTTGGGGGTTTTCCCCATTTAAAAAAAATTTAAAATTTTTTTGGGGGGTTTTTTTTAGGATTTACACAAAACAAAATTTTTAATTTTTTGGGGGGGGTTTTTTTTTCCCCCCTTTTTAGGAGGGTAAACAGAAAATTTAAATGGGGGGGTTGGGGGTTTTATTTTCCCGTTTAGGGGAATAAAAATATTTTTGTGGTTTGGGTAGCCCAGTTTTAGGAGGACCAAACATTTACTTTAAAATAGGGGGTTTTTGGGGGGTTTTTACCCCTTAAGGGGGCCCCCTTTCTTTAACTAGTTTTTTTGGGGGGGTTGGGGGGTATTTTTTTTTTGGGGTCACAGTATTTTAAACTGGGTTGGGTGGTTTCTTTTTCCTTTTAAGGAAAACCCAAAACCGTAATTAAAAATTTTTGGGGTTTGGGGGTTTACCCTTTTTGGATTAACAGTTTTTTTTTTTTTGGGGTTGGTTTACCCGGGTTTAATTAACTAAATTTTTGGTTTGGTTTTTAATTTTTTTAAAAAAAGTAACATATTTAATGTGGTTGGTTTTGGTTTTGGGAAAGGAAAACGTATTTCGGGGTTGGGGGGTTTTTTAAAAATTTTAGGGGAAGGGTTTTTAAATATTTTTGGGGGGATTTCCCAAAATTTTTTAAAAAAATTTTTTTGTGGTTTTTTTTTATTTAAAAACCCCAAAACTTTAAACGGGGGGGTTTTTTTTTTTTAGGGGGGGGGGGGTTGGTTTTTCCCCATTTGGGGAGGTAACATAAAAAAATATGGTTGGGGTGGGAATTTTCCCAGGTTTTTGGAGGCCCCAAAAATTTTTTTTAAAAATTGGGTTTTGGTGTGGTTTTTGTCCCGTTTAGGGGGCCCCCAAATTTTTAAAAGGGTTGGTGTGGTTTTTCCCCCGTTTAGGAGGTACACCATTTTAAAACAGTTTTTTTTTTTCCCGGGGTTTTGGGGGTTAAACCCTTAAAATTTAACGGGGGTTTTTTTGGGGTTTTTTTGTTTAAGGTCCCCCACTTTTAAAAAAAATTTTTGTGGGGGTTTATAGTTTATTTGACCAAGGTAACTATTCTGATATGTTTATTTGACCAGGTAATAAATACTGAATATGTTTATTTGACTCAGTAGCTACTGAATATTTTTATTTGACCAGGTAACTACTGAATATGGTCTTTATTTGACCCGGTAGCTACTGAATATGTTTATTTCGACAGGTAGCTACTGGATATGTTCATTTAACCAGGTAGGCTACTGAATTCGTTTATTTGGACCAGGTAGACAACAGAAGCAGGATACGTACCTCACTACATAAGGATAAGGAGAGTATAAATGTTGGAAACACGATGTCCGCGGTCTTGTTTGATCTTTAAGATTAAATAGACTGTTTCGAAAATACACGTATGCTCGAATGCATTCAGAACATTTTAATCTCTGCTTCAAAATTCCATTTAATGTATAAACTTTAGGGAGGAGGCAAAACTTTTTCGACCAAATACCCTAACAGAACCTAACACTAACTGAACCGTAACCCTAACTGCTAACGGCTACCGGCCTAACCCCCCCCAACTAGAACTGTAACCCTAACCTAGAACCGTAACCGTAACCCTAACTAGAACCCTAACAGCCTAAGGCTAACGGCTAAACGGCTAACCCCCCCTAACAACCGAATTTTTGTGAGATTTGAAAAATGTATAGTTCATTATAGTGCACATTGCACCAAATAACCTAGCCTTACAGTTGCATCTTCAGGTGGGGTTTCGCTTCATACACACTAAAAGTCCCGGACCTGAACATTTGAATGTAGACAGGAAGAGGAAATATACTACCATGGGTACTGGCAGACAGCCAAGACAGTACAATTGAAGCTGAAGGTTATGATAATCTGTACAGACTTACCTTACACCCATCAACTCTATAGTATAGGCAACTTACTAGATTTATAGGCAACCTACTACTATTACTAGGCAACTTCCTAGTTACTAGATAACCTTTCTACTGGTTACTTGATAACCTCTACTGGTTACTAGGCAACCTTCTACTAGTTACTAAGCCACCTCTACTAGTTATAGGCAACTCTATTAGTTAATAGGCAACCTCTACTAGTACTAGGCAACCTCTACTAGTTACTCGGCACCCTCTACTGGCTCTAAGTAACTATAGGTAGCCACTACTGTGTACTAGTTACCTAGGATAACCATCTACCTAGGTTATAGGGGCAACCTTCTACTGTTACTAGGCAACCTCTACTAGTTACTAGGAATACCTCTACTAGTTCGCTATGGCAACCTCTACTAGTTACTAGATAACCTCTACTGGTTATCTAGATAACCTCTACCTGGTTACTAGGCAACCTTACTAGGTTACTAAGCAACCTATATAGTTACTAGGTCCAACCTCTATTAGTTACTAGGAACCTTACTGTTACTAGGCAACTCTACTAGTTACTAGGCACTCTACTAGTTACTAGGGCAACCTCTACTAGTACTAGATAAACCTCTACTGGTTACTAGATAACCTCTACGGGTTATAGGCAACCTCTATAGTTACTAAGCATCCTCTACTAGTTACTAGGCAACCTCTATTAGTTACTAGGCAAACATCTTATAGTTACTAGGCAACCTTATAGTTACTAGGCAACCTCTACAGGTTATAGTGTAACCTCTACTAGTTATAGGATCACCTCTTGTTTTTACTAGGCAACCTCTACTAGTGTACCTAGGGAACTCTACTAGTTATAAGGCAACCTCTCACTAGTTTACTAGGCCAAACCTCTACTAGTTACTATAAAAACTCTACTGGTTACTAGATAACCTTATGGTTATAGGCAACCTCTCTAGGTACTAAGCTACCTCTATAAGTTACTAGGAACCCTATATTAGTTACTAGGCAACCTTCTACTAGTTACTAGGGCAACATCTACTAGTTACTTAGGCAACCTCTTTCTGGTTATAGAGTACCTTACTCAGTTACTAGATAACCTCTACTCGTTACTAGGCAACCTCTACTGGTTACTAGTGTATCCTCTACTAGTTACTAGGCAACCCTTACTGGCTACTAGGTAAACTCTACTGGTTACTAGGAACAGGAAAACCCTCTACTGGTTATAGACTAACCTTATAGTTACTAGAAACCTTAATAGTTATAGATAACCTTACTAGTTCTAGATAACTTACTAGTTACTAGGCAACACCTATACTGGTTATAGATAACCTCTACTAGTTACTAGATAACCTCTACTGGTTACTAGATACCTCTACTGGTTACTAGATAACCTCTACTCTAGTTACTAGTACCCCGCTACTGGTTACTAGATAAAACCTCTACTGGTTGCTAGAACCTCTACCTGGTTATAGATCACTCTACTGGTTACTAGATAACTCTCTACTAGGTTAATAGATAACCTTATGGGTTACTAGATAACCTCTACCTGGTTACTAGTAACCTCACTAGGTTTACTAGAAACCTTACTGGTTACTAGATAACCTTCTACTGGTTACTAGATAAACCTCTAACTGGTTACTAGGCAACTCTACTGGTTAATAGATAACCTCTACTGGTTATAGATAAACTCTATGGTTTAACTAGATAACCTCTTACTGGTTTACTAGATAACCTTACTGGTTACTAGGCAACCTCTATTGGTTACTAGATAACCTAAACTGGTTACTGGCAACCTCTAATGGTTAATAGATAATCTACTGGTTACACTTGGCAAACCTCTACTGGTTATAGATAACCTCTAACTGGTATAGATAACCTCCTAATGGTTACTAAGAAACCTCTACTAGTTACTAGATAACCTCTACTGGTTACCTAGAAAACCTCTATTGGTTACTAGATAACCTCTACTGGTTAATTGGCAACCTGCTACTGGTTACTCAGGCAACCACGGCTTCTCAACGACCATCAGTAATAACATTAACTTTATCTTGGTAAACCGTTTCTCTTCTTGGTTATTTGAGATAAGACCACCATGTTTACTTTTAATTCATAATACGTATGGTGCTCATTTTATATTTATCTTATTATCTCAGGAGGAGGAGGAGGAGGAAGGTATTAATTTAATGTAGTTGGAGGAGTCCTAACTCTCCTCACGTCCGAAAGTGGCGTTTCTCTTGTTTCAAAAATGGATCCACACGGCCCTCGTAGTTATCATATCACGTTAAACAATGCTCTAATATTAGTAATATTGGTAATATCAGTTATAAAACATACAACTATTTACAGATAATGGGATCTGCTTCAAGTAGAGCAGTATGTGCGGTCAGCAGTGATGTCTATCATGTGTACCTTCACACTGGCTGCATGTTACCACAAGCCAACACGATAAAAAAGATCGACGGTACTATAAAGATCACCATTAACCCCGATGCTAACGACGACGACGATCCTGAAGCAACGGTTTGTGAGTCGAAAATACTGAAGATAAAGGAAAAATTCTCTTCTCACAGCGAAGGAACAGTGGACGTTGAGTTTTGGGTACCGAAAGAGGAACGAATTGGCGAGCCAAAACTTATCAAAATTGAGTTGGATGGAGGTTCATATAGCTGCATTGGCACAAAACACCCTCTCTACATTCGAGAGGTAACAGTGATGTGGGATAACAAAACCTACAGGTTCCCCATACACAACTACCTTAGTCCATACACCCCCCGTAGTGCCTGTTGTGGGTGCGCAGAAGGTGGCACTCGCCAGCAAAGATGTGTTCCATATATTTATGCAACACCAGGACAAGGAACTCTGAAACACAATGAAACGGAATATTTCATATTGAGAGCCAGGGAGAAAGATCACAACATCACCCATTCAATGATGCCCTGGGAGAACGCGGATAAAGTAGGACCATTACCTAGCTGGATTGATGTGAAGGGTGGGGAGTACAAAAACCTACCTAGGTTCCTCCAATTCCGAGATGCTTGGCTGGATGCCTTCGAAGGATCGAAAGACGCAGGTTATAAGCTGGTATGTCCTGTTATCCTCAACAAAGTGTGTAATTGCTGTTGCGGTGGGACTCCTCAACGCAACTTCATATCATTCACCGACTATGCAGACTCCTTCACTGGGATGGGTGAATCTGTAGGATGGAATAAAAAAGACATTCAGGACGGTCTGAAGGTGGGCCAAATTTTCCATCACGACGCAGAGTTTGCCCGTCAAATCATTCAGGGTCCCAACTCGACGAGGTTAAGGAGAGTGGAAAAGCTTTCCGACACATGGCAGGAGGCAATTGACAAAGACATGCTCCCAACATATGCAATTGATGGAGAAGATCTTAATAATGTCATCAAAGATGGACGACTTTTTGAAATATTGAATTCAGAAATACTGAATGATGTCGGCCATGGCGGCAAGAAGAGCAAATTCATAACTGGTACAACACAAACATGGTACGTAGTTCAGGCGGACTGTCTACTTTTCCAGAGTAACACGCGTCCTGAGGACAAATCTTTTGTCCCCGTCTTGATACGTTTAGAAAATAAGAATGATGGGGAGAAACAAACCTGGTGGCACCCAGCCGAGAACGATACCAGCATGACTGCAGATCCGAAATACTTGTCTTGGCTTTTAGCCAAAATGTATTTCAGATGTGCTGATTGGGGAATCTACAGCATTGGAACTCACTACGCAAGAGCACATGCCATGAATGAGGTGTTTGCCTCGTCCATGTATCGCAATCTACCAAGTGCTCATCCCTTGCTTAGACTTCTACAGCCCCATTTCCAAGGAATCATCGGAATCAATATGCAAGCAAGGAAAGTTCTAATCAGTCCAACAGGTAATGCCTTTGCTAATTTTATGTCTTCCGGTGATGATCTGCCTAAACTACTGGAAAACTGCTGCAAAGAGCTGGATTACGAACACTTAGTCATTCCTAAAGACTTTGAAAGCAGAGGACTTAAAGATCTGCCAAACTTCCTTTTCAGGGATGATTCAGAGGATTTGTGGATGATCCTACTAGACTACGTTAAAAACATGGTGGATCTGTCCTATCTGAGCGAAGATGACGTCTCTAAAGATACCGAATTGCAGACGTTTGTGGAAGAGATCAGAAGTCCTGGCTTTGAAGGGTTCGGTGGAGCAGGTTTCCCAGAATCTATCGAAACTAAAGAGAAGTTGGTTGAATACCTTACTGCGCTCATTTTCAATGTGTCTTGTTTCCACACAGGTGTAAACTTCCAGATCAACAAATACCTGGGCTACATTGTTAACGCACCACCAAGTCTCAGACTGCCACCACCAAAACAGGACGATGTGATCACCATGGAGCGTATCATGAACAGTCTCCCACAATACGAAGTCGCTCTGGCAACCATGGTCATCACAGAGGTACTAGGTAACTTCTCTCCAATCGAGCGATTTTATGTGGAGACAAAAGCAGAAAATAGGCAAGGATATCTGGGAGAAAACTTGGCCGTTTCGCTGGAACAGGAGGGCCATATTAAGGATATGGTGAAGGAAATGGAGAAGCTCAGGGACAAAATAGCAGACAGAAATAAAGGGAAGTATTTAGCGTATGATGTGTTGAGCCCTAACAACATTCCCATCACCACCCAGACATGATCAACTGAGAATGTAAAATGCGGATCGGTACATTGTTTAGGACTAGGAGTAGCACAGTTGAAATGTTTCTTAGGTAAAAATGTGTATTGTTTTTGTTTTTGTTTGTTTCTATGTGTTGTCACTGCATTTTAATATTGAGTTCTGATTATTTGTACATGATTTTCCCCATTCGAATTTTGATTCCTTGTTTGGCGAGTTTTGAGACATATTGGTCTGTTTTAGTTCATAAAAGTTTTTCCACGAAGATTTCAATTACCGGAAAATTGGATTGAATTTAAAAACTTTTATAAAAAAGTATAGTGAACGATATAAATCCGCTCGAGTTAAAGTTAAATTTTGTAACGTATATGCCGAGAACTTTAAAATATGTAAAAATGAATTAAAACTCACAAGAGAAGCACACCCCAATTAACAGTGAATTCAGGCTACCAAGGTGAGTGAACATCGATCATTTTGGAACATTCTATCCTGTAAAGTAGAGGGTATTTAGTAAGAGTGCTCAAATCATAGTTCCACAAGGCAAAAGCTTGATGCCAATTGCCACCTGTTAAAATCAATAGTTTCACGTCGTCTATCCATCAGGGTACACACTTCTACAACAAGTTCACTACGTACGCGCGTGCATAAGTGCTGGCGGTACGCGCGCGAGGACGACTGAGAGCTTGGTGAATGTCTTTCGCGCGCGACATGAATTGTTGTGGACTCTCGACAAAGCTGTCGCCGAAAATCAATCTTTTTCAAACAATTACTTGATCCTACTATGCGATTTCCTTCAAACTTTCCAGATAGTAAGATAAGTATTTACCTGAAAATATGAGCAAGTTCAAACGATTTTTTTATGTGCAAAATTTGAGATATCAAATTTTCTTGTGTTTGAAGTTATATTTCAAATTTGGGAAATAGAAATTCGTCCAAACTCGCACGAATTGGCTATCGTATACCTTACTATCTAGAAAGTGTGAAGAAAATTGCGTATGTTAGGATCTTGAGATAATAATTGAGATAATAATTGCCTACGTTCCGCAGAATTCGCTATTTTGAAGATTTTTTCTTGTGTTCAAAATGATATCTCAAATTTGGCACATAGAAAAGTCCAACTCAACGTGTTGGGACTTATAGCCCAGATATCAGTGGATCGAAATAACAAAACAGGTTAAAGCGAATGAAACACTTAGCTAGAAATTTGAATAAAGGTGAATCATAAATCATGAGAGGTTCACCTCCTCTAAGGAGTGGTCACTGGTCAGATACTGATTTGAACCAAAAATGAATCAAAATAAATTACTTTAAGAAGGTAGGAGATATATTAATGTTAAATGTAGCTCACAGAAGAGATACCCCCTGTATATACCAATGATATCTTGAAAACTTGGTGTATACTTGTCAGTTAAGAAATTCCATGGTCGCTCATTCTACAAATTACCAAGTGGAAAAATTCACAATCATTCAAACCTTACAAAAACAACATTGTAAAAAATTCTTAATCATTTTTAATTTACGGTTATTCAAAGTTATTGAAACAAATTTAAATTACAAAATCGTTCGATCAAAATTACTAAAAATTACTAAAAGTAAAATTACAACCACAAATTACAACCCGACACAAATTACTCAAATACCTTGAGGTATTATAGTTTACAAGTTAATTCCCGGATCAATGATCATTGTCATGTGTAAACCTGTGCCAGTGAGAAAACTAAGATATTGAAAACAGACAGATCTAAAATCACCAGGCTCTCGTGAAAATCCCTACTGACGTAATGTTAATCCCTACAATAACATCATACAAAATTATTAAAACACGTTACAAAAATGACAAGCTATCCACAATTACAGATTTGTTTGATCGAAATACTTGAACGGCAACACTAAAATCAGAAATGTTTACTGAGCTTGAGGAAGTCCACGCAACGGCTCTAATACCAATCCCACGTGTAAACCCATGCCAGTTGGAGGGTTAAACCATACATCATCCGCCCTCAGCTTCTTATCTAATTCACTTTGGTTATCGACAACACGATAAACAAATTCCTTCTTCTTGAAATATTCATACTCTTCATTCTTTACCATGAGAAGTCCATCCCGTATTATAGATCCAATGTCCCTCATTATTCTATGATACTCTTTTTCCATCTCCTTGACTTTAAAATTGACCGCAATGTCTCCATTTTCTACCAACAAATTAGAAATGTCTGGAGCGATAAGACTCGCAACCTTTGAGCGGTGAGATCCTCCAACTTTTCCAATGACTGTAAGATAGACTCTAGCCCTCGTAAATGGGACGTAGAATAAAGCAGCATTAGAAAGTGAAGTGTATGACTCGATATCAGATATGGGCCCTTCAAAATTAGGAGTTTTACCATTATATAGAGTTATTCCAGCTGATTCCTCTAAATCTAAGACATAAATCACTGCCTTCCACTCACAAGTTTGAGCATTATCTTTCTCGTATGCACTTAGAATTGTCACCTCATCAAAATTTCTTTCTTTCAATTGCAAGCCCATTCTCAATGGTAGCAACAATTCTCCCCCATCACAGTGTTTTTTAGGGATTGGTGGTCCGCCATGGCTAAACTCATTCATAACGGTGCATGAGCTTAATAAAATAGCAACATCTTTTGGCTCTAGATTATTATTGCCAAGGACAAGCAGTTTTTCTAGTTCATCCAAAATAGTTAAATAAACGAGTTCCTCCTGTCTTTCGCTGCTCTTTATCATTATAAATTCTGGTTTTGGTCCGTGAATATGATGTCCTGGAATTTCAAACCTTTTTGCATAATCCCCAAAATACCCCATTGGAAAGTTTTGATACAAGCACATGTAATCATGATGATATCTGCACACACTCTCGATAGCACTAATGACCTCGACAGAATTTCGCAGGTTTTTTGAAAGACATTGAAATATGGTGTTACTTTCTTCGAATTGATTATCAATTGCAGACTTTAGATCCTTTACGTATTGGCAGAATGAATTTTGTTGCTGTATTATGACTTGAATAACTGCCAACTGGGGGTCCCAATGTAACTGACTATGATCATATACCAACCACAAACAGCAAAGACGCTCTCTATTTTGAAGTCGCTCATTCATCTCATTTACAAGATCACTAACCATGTTTCTGGAAAAATCCTCATCGTACTCATGATCTCCCTTTTGATAAAACGGCCATCGGCCAAACTTTGATGACAATGTCTCATCCCAAATGCAGTGTAGGTCATCCACGAATATGTGATAATCCTTGCTATAACGTAACACATCCATAAGGATATCAGGTGAATATTTATCAAACGGAAAATCTTTTGGCCAAAAAAAACCCCTTGTCTTAACACTTAACTGGTGTAACACAAAGATGTCTACATCAGTTCTTCTGCATTTGAAAGCGTCAAAAAATGATTGGTTTATTTTCCACACCAATTTTCCAATCACAGAACAGCGATCAGAATCATGAGAAAATATGGCTTTCATTCCTACTTTTCTGAAAAATTCTCTGAGGTAATCAAGATCCATGGTTGCTGTTATGAACAATAATTTATCTCTGATTTTCTCCTCGCTTGCGGCTTGAGACTTGTACAATTTAACAATTTTTCCTAAAAGTAACAAGGTCTTCCCTGACCCAGCAGGTCCCATTATAAACTGACATAATTCCTCATTCTTAAATATCTGTTTCTGTTCTTGTGTCAGACAATCAACTCCCAAATATGTCTTAAAGATAAGTGGACTCACTTTAACACTATCTGTGACTGGGTTGTCTTTATTTTGAGTGATATTCGCAGATTTTATAGCCTTGTCGACTTTGTTGATACAATATCCAAGACTGCAGATATCGATATCACATTTGTTATCTTGACTTATACACCAAAGTCCGATCAAGATAGCTTCAAGCTGCTGCATCTGCTTGGCTACACTTTGCCTGGATATGATCCTATGTTTAACTAAACATGACATAACGTTCTCTAACCACCAAACTCTAAAATTCTCAACATCCTCTTTGAACAATATGCTATCGACAGAGTTGTTCTTAGTGACGAAATATTTCTGATAATAAGGCAAATCGATGACATCACTTTTTGCGGTTTTAGGAAGGACTGTGAACCGGAAAATTCGTAAGTCAGCCAGTTTAACATCCACAGTATTGCATATGTTCGATAAAAGTCTGTGTGCTCTTTCAAGCTGCTTTTTAGAATCACTTAAGTTGCGTTTAAAAGCTCTCTCCTCAATCTGTTTTGGCTATTTAACTTCAAACAATATAACTGCATAGTTTCTAACAATAACAACAAAATCGTGTTCACCTTGAGAAACATTTGTACCCCCATACAACCTAGCTTGTTCTTCCGAAAAACTAAAATTGTGCAGACAATGATCTTTCTTTTGCTTTCTAATCTTTCAAGTGCCTTATAAAGATCAACTTCTGCTTCATATTGAAATTGCCGGTCTTTTTGAGCCAAGCACTTCTTAGTAGTATCTGCTGCAGTAAAGGCATCAACAAAGGTCTGCTGTGGAGCGCGAGGGAACATAACAGGTCTCTCATAATCTGTTTTGTATCTCATCTTGCGGTCGATGAAAATCCGTGTAATCATTTCACCTGCAGCAGCTATCTTCTCGACAGATAGATTATCTGAAAAGTGGAGTAACATTCTAATTCTATCTTTATATCAAAGTTATTAAAAAACGAAGTTGGCTGAGACAGACTCAGAGAGCTTTCCAATCCAGAAACGTGATATTGTTTTGCATTGCAATGGAAGGGTATCTTGATCGATTGGTATCTGATACTGTACCTACTCAAGCTATTTAAAGTCTCAAAGCTTGAATAAAAATCATTATTATTCTGCTTGATATAAAGTTAAAGCTAAGTGGGATAGGATAAGCATGAAAGAGACAAAACAGGCCCTACGATGAAGTTGTCAGGAAGGTTCAAGGTCTACAGTATGCTACGCTTATATTTATATTATTTCGTGTAATAAAGGTAATTTCATAGCTACCTGTTTGAAGGAGCAATTCTTTAGCTTCCGAATCAATCTATAGAGAAAAATAATTTAGAAAAACCAATTAGCTTTTTTCTTACTACGTATGGTTCCATTTCTAGAAACAAACTTGAATAATGCAACCGGAGATACAAGCGACATAAAAATGTAACTTTATTTATTTATAATCTACTAATGATTTATCGGTTATAATTATCTAATCTGGCACCTTTTCAAGCTCTTTATGCAACCTTTTGTCGTCATATATGCAGTATTAGTGCTTCTTTGTAATTCCTGGCAGCACTGTAAACATCCCCCATAGCATAGCATGCCTTTCCAATCCATTCCAGCGATCTTTGAAATTGCATTTATTACACACGTGTAGCAGTGTAGGGCGTAGGCTTGACACAAATGACAACTTGACCAAAAAGAAGTGCGCAGAGCAGGGCCACATATATTATTGAGCTCCTCTTAATTACCTAATTACATCTGACTACTTATAGAGGTACTGAAGATTACATTTTTATCAATACCTGGATAGGTCTCTATTGCAAGCCCCTAACTTTTTTCCAATTTCTACAGCTTCAGAGCACATGTTCTTGGCTGACAAATAATCCTTTTTCTTTAAGTAAACAGCTGAAAGTGGACATATTTTGTTATGATCAGCACATTATAATCCAATAATTTTAATTCACCATAAGTATAAGAAACATTAAAGTAACTAGCAGGAACCCGTCTAACCCTAAAATGGTGTCAAGACTCAAGAGACTAAAACAATTATTACCTATTTAATTCGCGTTTTTGACACCACTTGGGGTACCAAATTTTGGGCGCTAAAACTCCTATTTCTTGGCCAATTTTTTATTTTTTCATGCTGATTTGGAGGCCATTAAAGCATTTGACCCAGTCAAAAAAGTTTCAGTTGTATATCTTTTACGGTTTTTGCAGAAATTCGCGTTAAAGTTGATGCCGTGGTGTCAGTAAAATGGCACAGATATATATATATATATATATCGTCTCGCTTTATATATAGTAAGATTAATAACTGGTTATCAGTTGTTGTTATCCTTACAAGTTACAAATATAATGTAAAAGACCTTTTTCAAGTCAACTCACCCCCTTTGCTGCTATAAAATGACATTTGTGTCGGATCCATCTGGATTGCCTCATCGTAGAAGAAAAGTGCCGTATCATATTCTTCCCTGGAAAATGCCTCATGTCCCATTTCTTTCTTCTTGACAGCTGCAAGCTTCAGAGTCTCATCTATTTGGAAATCTTTGTAGAAAGACCCTGGTTTTATCTGAAGGAAATCAAGAATTTCAAGTCTAATATCATGAAAAATTAGGGGCATGAAACACAATATCTGTCAGATAAATGACAAAACTACAAACTGTCATGTAAGCAGAATAAGAGTTGGTCCAGCACCTTCTCAATTGAGGCTCCATCAAATACCGAAAGTGCTTCCTCATATTTCCATATTGCATCATTCAAATCTCTCATTTCAAGACATGCCTTTCCAATACGAGCAAGACACCTGAAATTCACACTTTATTAATGCCAGAATTTCACAGTTTCCACTGAATTTTTTACGAGTGACCAATTACTCAATTATTGAGTTCAGTGTGAGTGACTCAAGTCACCATCGAGGTGCTGGAATCTAAATATCCGGAAAACACTTTGGTGTTCATCAAAAGGAATATAATGGAAATTCTCAGAATAGAAAAAGAGATGTTGGAAGATTTATGAAGAGAAACTTTTTGCCGTATCCTTGACCGAAATATCGCGGTTTTTGCTGAATCTTTGACCAGTGACCAATCAGTGTGGTGAGTGGTCGATGAGAGTGACACAAGTTGCCATCAAGGTATATCCGGAGAAAACTTTAACGAAAGGACAATTTTGAAAATATTCTACTGTTGCGGTAATTGGAAAATAATCAGAATAAAAGGAGAAATTTTGGAAGAAATTCAAATAGAAACTTTTCTGTCAATAACTTTGTTTAAAACAGAGACATTTTGGAAGATTCAAAATGTATGCAAGGAAATAGAAAACATAAGTTTTTATACCTAGATTTTTCTTCGATGTTTGCACCAAATTTGTCTCCAATCTTCAATGCTTCTAAGCACACTTTTTTGGCAGAATCGTATTGCTTCGTCTGGATGTATATAGCTGGAATTTTATGAATATGATATTTTCATACTCAATTTAGATTTAGTATCATGATTTAGTCAAGGGAATGTGTGTACCTTTCAAGTGATGACATGATTTAATAAATTAAATATCATACAATATTAAAGCCCTGTTTATATTTTCTGTGCAGATTTAATTGGTGGATTCTTGGTCACAATAACTTTGAGATCAGTTTATTGATAAAAATAATAAAAAATCGAAGCACCTGCCACATTGTTGTAGAAGGAAATTTTTGTAGGATCAAGCTCTATAGCTTCCTTGTACAGACCCAAAGCGTCATTGAACATTTGTTTTTTAAAAGCTTCATTTCCCAGTTCCTTCTTCTTGACTGCTTCCTTTTCATTTTCTTCATTTACCTTTGGCATGAACTGGGGAAAACTGATAATGTTTTAAAATTGTAGTTCAACCGAAAAGTTAAATTCTTCAATAAACCTTTAATGTCTCGTTGTTTATTGAAAATTTCTTTGAAAAAAGATGCTAATATTTGAGCTCTTTATAATACTATAATACCTCCACCACTGAGTGCTGAGCGCGATAATTCCCAACAGCTTGCTGTTGGGAACGCGCGGGCACGAAGTGGTGGAGGTATTATATTTTATAATATTTTCCGGTTCCGAATTGGAAGGGGTGTAATCCGATACGTGCGCATGATACAATATAGTGTCTAATATATAGAACGCCAGTGTTATTTGTTTTACAACTTGCCGCCAGCCAGTCTGAGGTCTATGCTGATAATACCTTGGCTTCCCTTGCGGGATATATCGGCAAATTATCAGCTCTCAGTGTCAGAGACTTTTAGTGGATATAATTCCCGGAAGGTATTATAATTATAAACCCCTCCGGGTTAGAATAAGATTCTGATAATCCCGGCAACCGCTAGATAGATTCTGATACTCCAGGCTCCTGCTGTTAGTTTTTTCCCGCTGAATAAATAACCCCGGCACAGCTTCTATAATCCCGCCCCGCTAATTTGGCTCAACAAGATTTGTTTTGTTTTGATATTCCATGAGAATTTCAACCGCGCACTGTCACGTGTTTTGATGACGTGTATCACGTGACTAACTACTACCAGTGGCGTAACGAAGGGCCCTGCTGACCCCGCTGTGCAGGGGGGCGCCGTCTTAGGGGGGCGCCAAATTGTCGTTTGAATGTGGGACAATTTCGAAAACTAAAGTACTAGCAAAACTGCGCGTTTTGCTCTAGATACACACTTTTTTAGAAATTTTACCGGCGTATCCTCTAAAATCACCTAATTTGTTCAATTTTAGGGAGGGGCACCAAAAGGGGAGGGGGCGCCAACAGGGGGCGCCTTTTCGGCAGGAGGGGCGCCAACAGGCAACGTTACGCCACTGACTACTACGACGCGAATTGGTAAAAAATGTCACATGACCTATGGCTTAACGTAAGAACTATAAATACACTTGATCTACGTATCGGTCTAATTGCAGGCGCTGGCAAAACTCCAGCACACTGCTTACATTACTTAAACTCTTACATTAATTGGACCAGTTCCAGAACTTGTCTCGACGGTTACATTTGATTTTGTCTGGTTAATTTTGTCGTTTTGATATAAGCCATGTATTATAGTCGTCTACTTTGATGAACTTCATGACACGATATCATTATTAGCTCCACTTTTTATCGCTTGCCAGGCTTAACTCGACGCCCCTTATCGATATTCATATTCATTCAACGTTCTGACTGAGGAATAATGTTTAGATAAAACGCCAATTTCAAATGTCATAGTACCTTAGTTGTATTTATTTGGTAGTCCCCAATTCCATTTCATATTTTCCATACTGATCTCATATAGCTAGAATTAAGAGTAAAATGTCAAATTTGTTGGTCCTAGCACTAACCCGGAGGTGTTTATAACACATAACACCGGCACGCTTAAGTTATATTAAAATAACCCCTCGTGCTAAAGCACGTCGGGGTTATTTTCATAATAATCCCTCGTGCTTCGCACTCGAAATTATTATACATTTTTCCCGCACGTCGCAGGAAAAATTGAAATATAATCCCTGCGCATGCCGGGGTTATGTGTGTTATATGCAGTTTGACACATGTAGTGAAAATATTAAGAAAGTTTATCTGAGAATATCTTAAACCATAAAAGGAATCTTTTCATGGTAGAATTTAAGTCCTATTCTTAGAGCTAATATCTGCATAGCTAACTTTAATAAACTACATTTTTCTTCTTTACTAGTTGGTAGTCTAAAATATTTAGATGGTCTAACTCTTCGACAAAACGTACTGCAATAGCAAACAGATACCATCGACAACAACAACAAAAATATTGCTGAAACTCATTAACTGATAGCCGGTCCACTTCATAACAATAAAGTTTGTGGGAAGTGAAAGGGTACACCACTCTTATTCAACGAATCCCTGAGTACTCTAACTAAATAAGGATATTAATTTCGTGATCATGACCAACATCCATATCCCATTGATGAAATCACATTACATGTTCAAGAAACAATGCTTTTGTTAACGGATGATACTCGTAAAATATCTGTTCCATATACGACGAGTCCAACTCGGCGCGCGTCCTGGTAGGTTGTAAACCTACAAACCACTTATTAGTCGAGTATTAAGGACTGCTAGTATATTTTATTTATTTGTTTTCACTTTTGCACGTTTAGGCAGTTACTCTTGTGACCAGAGTTTTAGAGTTATATATATAGTCGATTACATTTTTGTCTATTTTGATTGAGCAACGATCTGCGAACGATCTACGATCAATTCCCGAACGATGTGTGAACGATCTTCGATGCGAAACAAAAATGACAGTTCGCGCGGCGCGTCTGGCGTTGCGAAGCAGCGAAGTATTCCAACTAAACTGTCAACATCAAACATATCTAACTAATTATTGTAGCGCGATGCACTACTTATACTTGGGCCACGCCGCGCATCTTCTGATCTCGTATGCACATCGGCGATATGCGAAGGATTGACATCGTGAATTTTGGAGGACTTCGTCGCTTCGACATTCGACGCGCCGCGCGAACTAGCATTATTGCTTCGTCGTCGATCGTTGCATGCTTTGCTTCGCGGAGCAACGATCTCGACGGATTGACAATCGTCAATCATGAATCAACGTGAATTAATCTTGGAGGACTTCACCGCTTCGACGCGCAGCGCGAACTAGCATTCTTGCTTCGCATTCGTCGTAGATCGTTGCTTTGCTTCGCAGAGCAACGATCTCGACGGATTTACATCGTCAATCAAGAATTAATCAAATTAATGCAATATATAACATCAAGTAATGCATTAGTAAGTTATGCATTAGTAAGTGAACCCGGCTCAACAGTTGCGTTTGATTCACGATGTCAATCCTTCGCAGCTCGGTGAGGCACAGTGGTGCATCTTGCCGATCTACCGAAGTTGCGAGAAGCATTATTTGATGCGCGCGCGACCCAGTAGTGCATCGCGCTACAACAGTTGCGTTATATTAAAGTGTGTGTAATGTTGAATGTATAATTGATAATACAATAAATAGAAATTAAATTTACTGGGCCGTGAGCCTTGAGCTGAGTTGAGCAGTTAAATTAGGCTAATTTGTATTCAACTGCTTTATATTACTTATATAGGGGGACCTCTCACCTCAAACTATTGTATTTATGTTCATATTAATCATTTGACCATTGTTAATGATTTGGCCCGGCGCGCGCTACTTCGAAGAAATTTAGACGAGTAACATCCGTCAAATTAATCATATATATGAATACAGAATAAAGATTCGGCGGAATAGAGATTAGGCGCGGAATGACAGGCTGAGCGCGCGCGGCTCAGTGAGCCAAATATAAACAACTGTCAGTTTTGCCAAATAAAATACAAAAATGTTTGAGTACAGTGTTTTTATCATTTAAATCATAAATATTTTTTGAAAAAAATGTGTTTTCCGGTAAATTTATGATATTTACAACTTATATGTTATATTATTGTAATATATTTAAATAGTACCAAATTATTTAATTTTAATTTTTGATTTTGAAATTATAATATTGGACAGTTTCGTAAAATATTCGAAACAAATATTTAACGAGTTATATTCAGTATTACCTGTTAATGGTTTGTATACAACTATTATGACTATTACTTATACTTGTCAGTTGTCATACGTTGTATGACCCGCCGCACACGAGTGCGCGGCCCCTGTCATGTATCGTAGAAACTTTATAGTGAAACGACATCGGGAGTCACGCCGTGATACAACTATATAATGACGACTTGCAGATACAACTATGTATAATGAGTATGACGAGTTTCTACGATACAGTTGTCATACGTTGTATGACCCGCCGCGCACGAAGTGCGCGGCTCCCCCTGTAGCGTCGAAGACGCTACAGGGGGACGCTACTACACTATAGTGAAGACGCTACTACACTATAGTGAAGCGACCGTGGGGGTCACCGCGTGATACAACGATACAGGGGGCGGCCGGGCGGCGCACTCGTGCGCGGCGGGTCATACAACGTATGACAATTAATGTTTGTAATCAGTAAAATTTATGTATTATTCAATACAAAGAAAACTTGTTTCATCTGATAAATTGTAATATATCAATAATATAATTGAAGGATAACAACGAAAAGTTATAAAACACAATTTTATGGTTTATGCGTGCGCGGCGCTTCCGGAGATTTGTTTTTTGCCTCCGCATACGTTTCAAAATTTTATTTACCTACCTACGCCGTTGCCGCAGCAACACTCATGTTATCATAGTATTGCGCGCAATTTTCTGTTCAGCCTTTTGTCTTGATAGATGTATCTCTCTGAGACACTCTTTGAGTGAGCCACATTGATTTGTTTAACCCATTAATAGGGCTTGTGGGTTTCATATCCTTGTTGATTGTTATTGACTATTCTGTTGTGAACTGCTATTTGCTACGCTCAGATTAGGTAGGCGAACCGTATCGCCTCTTTTCAGACTGACAGGAAAACTTATTTATATAAAATAATTTGTTCCATATCACTGTGTAAACTTCATTAGTTCTGATTGCCCACCCAACCACCCTTACCATATCGCTTTAACCCAAAACAGTGATCCAACTGGTCTAACAGTGATCATGAAGAGGGAGTAAAACAATTTTGAAATCGATCGAGTGATAAATAATTTAACTCCTTATCCATTATTGTGCTTCTCTTATTCTGTTAGATATGCCTTATTTACTGAGGTGATACGATTCCAGTTTCCATTCACCAGAAAGATGATGCAATTGTGGTGTTACTAATGTTGATGCGTAACTTTTAAAAAAACTAATTTGTTTCATCACTGGCTTTCCGAGTAGGTATACCGAAGTGATTTTTTT